GAACTTCATTCTTTTAAAAAGCACGTATTTTTTAAAGTGGAAAAATGTAACTTGAAATTACTTTTTTTTGGATGTCACTATCTAAGTAGGTAAATAAAATAAGAAAGTGACCAAAAAAAAAAGAAGGGGGAGGAAAAAGAGAGCAAGAGGGAAGAAAGAAGAGACAGAAGGAAAGGAAAACAGAGATAAAAAGAATCAATGTATAAATTTTAGAGATGTCCACAGTAAGTAAAAAGAAATCCTATACCTTAGACAAAGACACATATACCAAGGATTTATAATATATATGCCCAGTAGTATTGCATGAATTCATAATACACAGTATACTTAATAGCCCCATTAACAGCAAACATAAAAGACAGCTCTTGCAGTCCATTTTTATCAGTGCAGAATAAAAAGCCCTTGTTCCTCCAGATATACATTCAGAGATCCTAATCATGAGGGATCTGCTACAAACATATATTCTACTAAATGTGTCATTAGAAACTCTGATAAGATCTTGTGCTAAAGGAAGCTTTGTACAGTTGTGGTATAGTGGCAGATCCACTCAACTTCATTTTGCACAACGTACAGAAGTCAAACCTCAAACATGAAATCTACCATATCAAAGAAACAGTTATAACTGTTTAACAAAAATGCAAAAAGGAAAACGGACCAAAGTATAAAAACAAATCCTTGCTTTACAAACATCTATCTACCAGATGTAACAACTAGGATTTATCTAGGTCGTTGTCTTAAAACAGATGTGTTTTACAGCCTTTAATATCCAACTTTGTACGTTAGTGCTCTCTCATCTGTTTACTACTTCTACTAAGAGCTTCTTTCTTTCTCTTTGTATTCCTTCATCAACAAACAGAAGCACTCATCACATAAATTAGCAATTTGGGGATTATACACTGACAAACGAATTGATAAATTCTTGATGTCTACTCTATACACAAAATTATGTAAGCCATTGTAACAGATGGCAGAAGCAAAGTAAGTTATTTTGTCTGCTCTAACTGTGCTTACGATCTAATGGAGGCAAAAAGATGTGTAGACAAGCAGATAGGAAACAGATACAGGGTGCTGACGTACAAAGGTCAGGCCTCATGGAATGGAGATCTGGCATGAAATCTGAAAAATTATAGGCAGGATCTAAACTGGGTACAGAAGAAATGTATGTACAGCATTCCTAGCAAGAGGAATAACATAGAAAGAAAGAGATAAATACAAGAAACACCTCAAAGAAAAATCAAAGTCCTTCTGACTAATCAAAAATGGAGGTTAAAAAAAGAAGGGGATTTCCACTCAGGATAATTGAGAGAACGTTCTTGTTTCTGACAAAGACACCAAAAGTGGGATAACAAATAAACTGGTGATGGAATAATATGATGAGTGTGATGCTGTACATGAATTTTAGATGATGACAAAATATCAAAATAGAAAAAGCAATAATCTCTTCTTAAGAATAAAAAAGCTACTGATTTTAATCTTATACTATGTTGCAGACACTGTGCTAAAAGCCCTATATATATTTTACTTACCTTCACAACCACCTTGTGACATGAATGTTATCTTTTTTCCTCATTTTACAAAAAAGTAAACATTTTACAAAGAGTACAACCAGAATGCTCCTTAGAAGCAAGGATGGCGAGACTGCATCTCACATACTTTGGACATGTTATCAGGAGGGATCAGTCCCTGGAGAAGTACATCATGCTTGGTATAGTAGAGGGTCACTGAAAAAGAGGAAGACCCTCAAGGAGATGGACTGACACAGTCACTGCAACAATGGGCTCAAGCAGAATAACATTTGTGAGGATGGTGCAGGACAGGGCAGTGTTTGGTTCTGTTGTACATAGGGTCACTATGAGTCAGAGCCGACTCGACCACACCTAACAATAACAATTTAGATTAATAACTTGCCCAAAACAACAAATAGGAAGTGAGAGAATTTGTTTTGACCCTAGAACATCTGATTCCAAAGGCCATGCATAAATTCTGTAGTCAGGTAGCCATGAACAGATCATCGACTTTTATATAAATATTCAAAAATGCATTGAGTACTTACTATGTGCCAC